GTGCACTGGAGAGGTGTGTGTGGGCTCATCTGTGTGTTGTGCAGGCTAGCTAAAGTGTGCCTCCAATCTCAGCTAAAGGCATGGCCAGGATTTAGGGCATGAGGGAGTGAAGGGCTCCTGAGAGCTAGTGGGACAGGATGGAAGAGTGCCAGCCCAAGACCTGGGGGACTTCTCTGCCTTGTGACCAGAAAGGGGAGAGAAGATCTCTCACAAAGCCATCCCGACGCCACCTTTGATGGGCTCCTTGCAGTGTGCTGGGGAGGGGGTGGGTTGGATATCTTGCTCTGTGCCCGAGGAAGACCGCCTTGAACCTGTTGGGCTCAGCCAATGGGGTGCCCAGGCAGGACACTGAGAGAAGGAAGGGAAGATTGTGAGCTCGATGCATTCATTCCCCTGAGAGGCGGCCACGGGCTGAGGGCATTGCTCGGCTGAAAGCCCCAGCCCCATCAGGCAGGTCCCTCCTCGCGGCAGAGCTGTCTTGGGTCTGGTGACCCCTCCCCTCCCCCATGGTAGTAACAGTCCCCGTTGACACTCGCTGGAGCTCCACACTCTCCTCTCTGGTGTCCTGCACCTGCCCACGCCTGCAAACAGACCTTTTATGAAAATTACCCTCAAAGCACACAGTCTGACTGTGCCTCCGCTTCCGGTTAAGACCTCAAAGGATCCCTCAAGTGGGGGGCAAACACCATTTGGGGAAGGCAGCCCCTTCTCTCCCGGTTGTTTCTTCTCTGGTTTTCTTCTCTGTTGGGCCCCCATGGACAGATGAGCCCAGGGTGAGGGTGACACAAAGTTATCTCGGGGCGACAGGGGCAGTTACTCAGTCCTTCTACCCCTCGAACATTTCCCTCCCGAGCCTCTGCACCAGCTCTCTCACACCCCAAGCCAGGCTGGCCATCCCTGGGCAGGACACAGAGGGGACCCACGACACTCAGGCCTCCTCACAAGGGCCGCTGGCCCACGGCTGGAAAGAGGGAGCAAAGTAGGAGTCAGGCGCATTGGCTCATGCCTGTAATCCCAGCACTTTGAAAGGCTGAGGTGGACAGATCACCTGAGGTCAGGAGTTCCAGACCAGCCTGGCCAACATGGCAAAACCCCATCTCTATTAAAAATACAAAATTATCTGGGTGTGGTGGTGTGTGCCTCTAATCCCAGCTAATTAGGAGGCTGTGGCAGGAGAATCGCTTGAACCCGGGAGGCAGCGGTTGCAGTGAGCTGAGATCACGCCATTGCACTCCAGCCTGGGCAATGAGACTGAAACTTCGGCTCAAAAAAAAAAGAAAGAAAGAAAAGAAAAGAGAAATAAGGGAACAAAGCAGCACCTGGGGACTCCACTGCAAAATGAGAGGAACAGAGGGCAGGAGCCTCTGTGGCAGAGGGAAGAGCAGGTGCCCAGCGGGCAGGACGGGCTCACAGACAGGGAGAGTGGAAGGAGCAGACAGACAGGAAGCAGCGGGGGTGCAGAGGAGAGGTGGGCCGGGCTGACGGAGTGCAGGCTGCAGCGCTCTCCATGGGGTCGACTCCTGCGGTCCAGGGAAAGGGTCAGGGACGCGGCTTCAGCCTTCAGATGCCAGAGCTTCCCAGGAGCAGTTACCAGGGAGCAAAGCTCTGTGCTTCCGTCGAGATGCTGCAACCCATCCGCGTACACCCACCCAAAGGACACTCCCCCCACACAACCCGGTTATGAGATCACCTCCATTTCACCCTATGCTGCCATGCCATGCCCCAGTCCAGCCCACACCCATGCCCTCCATCCCGGCACTAACACCAGCAAGACCAGAGGTCTGCCCCGCCCTCCCCTCCCTCCTGCAGGGAGTCCAAGCCTGGAGGAGAGAAGCCCGCCCACTGGGTCACCAGCCTCCCCCGGGGGACTCTGCCTGGCAGAAGGACCTACAACCCGTCCAGCACTACTGCTAAGACGCTCATGTCATTCATGCCCGGGACGCTCGTGATTTATGGACTTTAATTTCCCCAGATCTTCAGTGGCTTCCCTCCTTTTCCTCTGGCCTGTCAGGGTGTTTGTCTCCCAGCACCCCCAGCACTCCCCCTCCCTGGTTTTTAATTTGAAGCATCCGTCTGGAGCATCCTGAGGAGGGGACGTCTGCGAGGCTGAATGCATGAAGCAGCTGACAGCTCTATTGATTTCCTCTCTCCCTCCGCATAATGCAAGATATATACGAGCCGATAGGCCTGCCCTCTTTGAAGGGTCTGTGCCCTTTTTTCTCACTCTGATGTCCCCTCACCCTGGCACATGTTGATCTATAGGAGGGGTGCTTGTCCCTCACACTGAAAACGCATTCTCCTCTGCCTTGGTGTTATTTTCCTCACTGTTGGTAAATACGGCCTCATCTGTCCTTTCTGCGCTAGCAGACTGGACACCCAGGAAGCAGCTCTTGGAGTGAAAGGGGCCAGTGGGGAAAAGTGGGGTGGAGGTGTCATCTGTCAAAACTGACTCTGCCCCCCATGCAGGAGATGGTGCGGGGCTTTCGGAGTGGCCCTCCCCTGCCTCACGGGTCTGGGCAAGCGGGGCTGCTCGCCACTCCAGCCCACACCTCCTCTAGGTTGCAGGTTGCAGGTTTTTTCCTCCAAATCCATTGGCAACTCTTGCCTGGGACTTACATTCAATTAGCAGCCACAGAGCCGGGTGCTGGGCTAAGCATTTTCCTGTTCTTGGTGCCTTCTGGTTTCTCATGAGCAGGGCAGCCGCAGACAGTTGTGCAAGCTGCACACAACTGGCCACAGCGGCCTGAATCCCAGCAGGAATTAATACTCAACAGAAACTGAGGCTCAGAGCTCTCAGGAGACTCATTGACATTCTCCCAGCCAGACACTGATTTTGAATCTAAGACTGCCTGCCTCCAGGAACAGTTTTCCTCCTACCCTATCACACTGCCTCCTCCAGGAAGACCACCTGATTTGATGCCACTCAATCTGATGGTTCTTTCATTCTTGTCACCCTGGAACTTACTTGCTACGAGGGTTTGCACGCTCTAGCAGGCTCCTCTGGTTGTGTTGGGTGGGTTTTCAGGACAAAGCAATATTCTGCTCCTCTTTGTGAATCACCATCAATGTTACTCCTGGAGGACTTTCCTGGCCCAGCCCTTCCCCAGCCTGGATCAGACCCCCATGGCCTCCATCTGGTCCCACAATTCCAAACACTTCCTACACCTAGGGCCCAACCTCGTCACTGGGTCCCTTACTAGTCTGTGTGTCCCTTGAGGTGGGAACAGGGGCAGGATCTTATTTCTGCATCTTTACCACTTAGGAACCTAGAGGTACCTTAAAGACAGGCCCCGTGCCTCTCCTTCCTTCTCCCACCCCAGCTCCCCACCCCATCCCGAGGCTTCCCACTGGAAAAGGTGTTCCCACCCGCTCCGGGCTGACATCAGTGCTGTGCCTCCCAGAGTGGGGACGAGGGTCCTGGCCAATGGGGCTGCCACGATGCTCCTGGTAACTAGAGCCGACTGCACCCCACCTTGCCCCCCGTAGAGCCCAGGCAGAGGCAGCACCCAGGGCGGTCCTCCTTACAGCATCCACAGAAAAGCTTTGAAACCCTAGGCTAGGTGCAAATAAGACAGTAGCCTGAGCCCATGAGTTACCTGGCCATAGGTACAGAAGACAGATACCCATTATGACAAAGAATGTCCTCATGGTTTTGGCCTTCTAGTCAAGCGGCTCTCAAGCACAAAGGGCACTGCCCTGCTTTCCCCCGGGGACATTTGGCAATGTTTAGAGACATTTTTGTTTCTCACAGTTGTGAGGTTCTAGCATTAATCGAGTACCAGCCTGGGATGCTTACAAAGCTCAGAACAGTCCCAGCCCCTAAACAGAAAGTGAAAGTACTCCATCCACAAAGGTCAACCACGTGGGGCATGAGAACCCCTGTTCCAGTCCGTGGGGCCTTGCCTCGTGGCTTCTAGCTCAGCAGTGGGGAGAATGGTAAACCTGTCTACCTCTCAGGGACTCACGGACTCTTTGGGGTCCAGGGGGACAGTAAGTAACCAGCATCCCTTTAAACTCACCATCTTCACTTTCCAAAAAACAGCAGTGGGCCGGGTACAGTAGTGCACACCTGTAATCCCAGTACTTTGGAGGCCAAGGCAGGAGGATCGTTGGAGGCCAGGAGTTTGAGACTAGCCTGGGCAACATAGGGAGACCCCATTTCTACAAAAAAAAAGAAAAGAAAAGAAAAGAAAGAAAGAAAAGAAAAAAAGAATATAACCACATGCCTGTGGTCCCAGCTGCTTGGGAGGCTGAGGCGGGAGGACCACTTGAGCCTGAGAGGTTGAGGCTGCTGTGAGCAGCGATTGCACCTCTGCACTCCAGCCTGGGCAAGAGAGCAGGACTCTGTCTCAAAAATAAATAAATAAATAAATAAATAAATAAATAAATAAAGCACCAACTCACCCTCCACCCCCTCCCCATCCTTTCCCAGGGAAATGAGTTCAGTGCCAGGAACCACAGTCCCCGCCTGCTGACAACCTTTAAGGTTTAATAACTCCCTTCCGAGATGGTTTAAAGGCCAGCCCTGCTGGCAGCCAAAGGCAGGGGCCTCTTGGGGGCCTCCTGGAGATTAAATGAGATGGTGGATATGAAAGCCCTCCACCAGGTATGAAATCGCATATAAATATTCCCGGTAATTTATGTACATTTCTCTCTGCCTGAGCTCCCAGGAGTCGCAACGGAAGGGACTACTCCGTTTCCAGCCGCGGCCTCAGCGCCCCCGTGCGGCCGCCGGTGGACACAGCACCCAGGGCGGGCCTTGCCTGAGAGGTGCGGGTTGGAAGCTTCGCTGCAACCCTGAGAGGCGGGAGAGAGGCGACAGCACACCCCCCACCCCCAACACATGCACACACGTGCATGCACACACACAGAGCATTAGAAACCAGGAAACCAAGGCTCGAAAGATCACCGCTAGGCATTGAAGGAGGTGCTATGGATCCCAGGGATGGGCCCTTCGGTGACGATGACCACAACGGGCATCCGTGAGGCTGTAAGGGGAACTCCTGAAGTCCCTGGACCCCAGCCCAACTCTTCCTCCAGCCTCTTCTTCCCGACCCCCGGCCCCAGACCCTCCTTAGCTCTGCCACACTGAACTTCCCACCAATTCTCATAAACACCCGGCATTCTCCCGACCCTGGGCTGACGTCAGCTCCCTCCCTCCTTCTGTCTGCAAGTCCTTCTCCTGGCAAGCTGCTGCGCACCCCTCCCGGAGGCAACACACTGTGTCCCCTCCTCCACGAAGCCTTCCAGGACTCCCTCAGGAGGAATTAGACCCCTAGCCTCTGGGCACCCTCCACAGCTTGTTATGGGATCCCAGCAGTCATGAGTGTTTGGAGCTGGAACCGCATTTTGCTTATTCCCAGGCCCAGCCCAGTGGCTGCCTTAGAGTAGGAGCTCAATCGATGTTCACCACGTGAACAGAATGGACTGAATGGGAGAAAATCCTGGAGGCTGGGAGGTTTTCTCAGCCATGTGCCATGCCAGCCCTCTGCCCACCTGCAAGCTGGGGCATTGGGGTTTTCTTGACCGATCCTGGTCCTCTTTCCAATGTGTCCCTGAAAACTGAAGAGAAAACTCTAAACCATTCGGCCTTCAGGAGTGGCCGGGGCGGGGCTGCTGGAGGGAGGAGGGGAGGCCATGCGCCTTCTGAGGCCCTCTCTACCCAGAGCCAGCAGAGTGAGGGAAGGGAAGGAGGGGAAAGTGTTAGACTGTACCCTGCAGCTCCAGACATGCCCTCCGTGCCTCTCCAGCTTCCAATCACGCTGCAACACCCTGCTTCAGACCCTCCCTTCCACCTCTTGACAATGAGAATAGCCCTCACCGTCCTGCAGCCGCCAGCGTTGGACATTCCAGCCCACCAATGGCCAGAATGACCATAACAGGCAGCCTGAGCCCTCCTGTCCTCGAGTCCGGGGCTTTCCTCTCCTGCAGGATCCCCCCTGGGCCTTGGAGAGTTTCATTTCGTGTGTGTATGGCATTCACCAGGGAGGCTCATGTCCAGGGCAGCATCCTCTCAGGGTCTCAGGCTGTGGCGCTCAGGGCCAGGGCTCTGCCAGCCTTGGTCTCTGACAGTCCCCGACCACTCCAGGACATTTGGGGCTCATCCTCCCATGGAGCAGGGAAGTGTGCCCTCTTGGCGCCTTGCCTCACTTTTAGTGGCTGTGGATTATTTTGCTATTTGTCCCCCTTGGGGAGCTGGAGGTCTTTGGTACTTGAACAAATGTGCCATTGTGTTTTGCTACTACACATCTATGGTCCCTTAAATTATACAACTCAAGAGGGCGAACATCTGTCTCCCTGGGATCGCTGCCAAAAGGGAGGTGCAGCTCCTCCTTCTATCCCTGTCCTTGTCCTGTTGGGCCTGCAGTGAGGTGAGAAGCACCAGTCATTCATTCAACAAATAGTTTTTGGACCTACTACATGCCAGGCACTGCTTCGGGCACATCAATGCCTCCTTCTAGCTCTCCCTGAATTCCTCCCTCCATCCACCCCTCCATATAGTGAGTGATCTCAGATGCCGCATCCAGCCGGATCATCCTGCAGTGTTAGCACTGAGCTCTTACTGTACAGATGGGGACTGCACTTAGAGAGTTATCGACAGAATACTGAGCCCTGTCCTTGCCTTCAGGGAAAAGTGGTAAGGTGGGGCATAGTGGTTCACACCTGTCATCCTAGCACTTTGGGAGCTCGAGGCAGGAGGATCCCTTGAGCCCAAGAGTTCAAGGCCAGCCTGGGCGACCTACGGAGACCGTGTCTCTAAAAAAGTTTTAAAAAATTAAAAATAGGCCGGGCGCGGTGGCTCTAGCCTGTAATCCCAGCACTTTGGGAGGCCGAGACGGGCGGATCACGAGGTCAGGAGATCGAGACCATCCTGGCTAACACGGTGAAACCCCGTCTCTACTAAAAAA